ACTGGGATCACCCAATCCCAACTGGGATCACCCAATCCCAACTGGGATCCCCAAAACCCAACTGGGATCACCCAACCCCAACTGGGATCACCCAAACCCAACTGGGATCACCCAATCCCAACTGGGATCCCCAAAACCCAGCTAGGATCACCCAAACCCAACTGGGAATGGCCCAAACCCAGCTGGGATCACCCAACCCCAACTGGGATCACCCAACCCCAACTGGGATCACCCAACCCCAACTGGGATCATCCCAAGCCCAACTGGGATCCCCAATCCCAACTGGGATCATCCCAAGCCCAACTGGGATCCCCAAAACCCAACTGGGATCATCCCAAACCCAACTGGGATCACCCAATCCCAACTGGGATCACCCAAACCCAACTGGGATCACCCAACCCCAACCGGGTCACCCACTGGGTCCCACCACCGCGGCCCCACGCACCGGAAGAGGTTCCGGTAGTAGTGGATGGGGGGGCTGAGCCCCCCGGGCTGCGAGAGGCTGAACAGGTACGAGTCGAGCTCCTGCTCCGACAGCCGCCGCGCCGGGTCCTGGATGCCCGTCCGGACGCTGGTCAGGAACGTCCTCACCAGCTGTGGGCACACCAAAACGGGACTCCAAAAAATTGGGGACAAAATGGCGGCTGGGTGGTGGCAAAAATCCCAAAATTGGGGAGGAAATGGGGGATAATGGGGATGGGTGGGACCAAATTCCCTAAAATTTGGGATGAAATGGGGGAAATGGGGGTTGGAGGTGCCAGGACCCCAAAATTTGGGGACACCAAGGGGCATATGGGGCTGGGTAGCTCCAGCACCCCAAAAATTTGGGATAAATGGCAGCTGGGTGGTGGCAAAATTCCCAAAATTGTGGAGAAAATGGGGGAAATGGGGGTTGGGTGGGACCAAATCCCCAAAAATTTGGGATGAAATGGGGGAAATGGGGGTTGGAGGTGCCAGGACCCCAAAATTTGGGGACACCAAGGGGGACATGGGACTGGGGGGTGCCAGGACCCCAAAAATTTGGGACAAAATGGCGGCTGGGTGGTGGCAAAATTGGGGGAAATGGGGGTTGGGTGGGACAAAATATCCAAAACTTTGGGATGAAATGGGGGTTGGGGATGCCAGGAACCTGAAATTTGGGGAGAAAATGGGGGAAATGGGAGTTGGCGGTGTCAGGAACCTGAAAATTTGGGACAAAACGGGGGTTTGAGGTGCCAAACCACCAAAATTGAGGGTGAAATGGGAGTTGGGGGTGCCAGGAAACCGAAATTTGGGGAGAAAATGGGGGAAATGATGACAAAATGGAGGACTTGAGGTCTGGGTGGCATCAACCACCCCAAAATTGGGGACAAAATGTGGGAAACGGGGACTGGGCAGTGCCAAACCCCCAAAATTTGGGACAAAGGGGGGGACACGATGTCTGGGTGACACCAAACCCCCAAAATCTGGGACAAAGAGGGGGACACGAGGTCTGGGTGGTGCCACCACCCAAAATTGGGGACAAAGGGGGGGACATCGCTTTGGGGTTGGGCATCACCCCTTTGGGGGCTTCTTGAGGGGACAGAGGGGACAGGGAAGGGACAGAGGGGATAGGGAAGGGACAGAGGGGACAGGGAGGGGACAGAGGTGACAAAGGGGACAGCGCTGACCTGGAAGTCGGCCAGGGACAGGAGCAGCTCGGGCAGCCAGGGCAGCTGGAACAGGAAAACGTAACAGGAGCGGAGCAGCTGCGACGGGTGACGCGCCATGAAAGCTGGGGACAGGGACAGGGACACCGTGGGGACAGGGACACCGTGGGGACAGGGACAGGGACACCGTGGGGACAGGGATGGGGACACCGTGGGGATGGGGACACCGTGGGAACAGGCATGGGTACATGGGACATGGACATGTTCCCATCATGGGGACAGGGACAGTGACATGGGACATGTCCCCGCCATGGGGACAGTGACAGGGACAGGGCCACCATGGGGACAGGGACATGGGACATTGCTGCTACCATGTCCCCAGTGTCCCCAATGTCCCCTCAGTGTCCCAAACAACCTCAGTGTCCCCAGTGTCCCCAATGTCCACAATGTCCCCAGTATCCCCAGTGTCCCCAATGTCCTCTAAAGGTCCTCTCTGCGTCCCCAATGTCCCCATGTCCCCTCAGGGTCCCCAGTGTCCCCAATCCCCCCAATGTCCCCAACATCCTCAATGTCCTCAGTGTCCCCAATGTCCCTGCTGTCCCCATCATCCCCACTGTCCCCAATATCCCCTCAGTGTCCCCAGTGTCCCCCAATGCCCCCAATGTCCCCAGTGTCCCCAGCATCCCCAATGTCCCAAATGTTCCCAGTGTCCCCAGTTTCCCCACCATCCCCAGTATCCCCGATGTCCCAGTGTCCCCAGGTCCCCTCAGTGTCCCCGATGTCCCCAACACCCCCGCTGTCCCCGCTGTCCCCGTCACCTGCCATGACGCCCCGGTGGGGTGCGTCCATCACCACCAGCTTCTCCACCAGCTGGGGGTGACTGGAGGCCACCTCCCAGGCCAGGAGCCCGCCCCAGTCGTGTCCCACCAGGACGCAGCGCGGCGTCCCCGCCGGTGTCCCCAGGGCCTCGATGACCTCGCAGATGTCCCCGAGCAGCAGCTCCAGCCGGTAGCTGTCCCTGCCCGGTGGCTTCTCCGAGGCCCCGCAGCCCCGCAGGTCCAGGGCCACCACCCGGAAGCGGGGGCTGAACTCCTGCAGCAGGTGACGCCAGCAGAACCTGGGGACAACGGGGACAACGGGGACAACGGGGACAATGGGAATGGAGGTGGCATCACGGGCACGGAACGACGGCCGGGAGAGGGGGGACGTGGGGACAGCCTGGGGACACCTGGGGACACCTTGGGGACAGCCTGGGGATACCGTGGGGACACCTGGTGGACACCCTGGGGGACACTTGGGTGACAGCCTGGGGACACTTGGGGACACTTGACATTTGGAGACACCTGGGAGACACCATGGAACACCTTGGGGACACCTGGGTGACAGGTGGGGGACATGGGGACACCTTGGGGACGCCTGGGGAACACTTGAGGACATTTGGAGACACCTGGGACACTTTGGGGGACACTTGGGGACACCTGAGGGACATGGGGACCAGAGCAGGGGGGACATGGGGACACCTTTGGAACACTTGGGGGACACTTGAGGACATTTGGAGACACCTGGGACACTTTGGAGGACATTTGGGGACATTTGGAGACACCTGGGGGACACCATGGGAGACCTGGGAGATACCTGGGGGACAGGCGGGGGATGTGGGGACACCCTGGGGACAGCCTGGGGACACCTTGGGGATACCTAGGGGACAGGTGGGGGACATGGGGACACCCAGGGACACTTTGGGGACACCTGAGGGACACGGCGACAGAAGCAGGGGGGACATGGGGACACCTTGAAGACACCTGGGGACACCTTGGGGACAGGTGTGGGACATGGGGACACCCTGGGGACAGCCTGGGGACACCTGAGGGACACGGGGACAGGAGCAGGGGGGACATGGGGACACTTGGGGACATTTGGACGTTTGGGGACACCTGGGGGACACCATGGGAGACATGGGGGACACCATGGGAGACATGGGGGACACCTGGGGACAGCTGGGGACCCTTGGGGACACTTTGGGGACACGCACCAGTTCTGGGGGAAGCCGTGGAGCAGCAGCATCAGGGGGGCATTGGGGGGACCCCGAGTGACGTAGTGGAGCCGCAGCCCCGAGCCCTGGGGACATCGGGGTGACAACGGGGACATTGGGGTGACACAGGGGACATTGGGGACGTTGGGGACAAAGGGGACAGCGGCACCTTGGGGACACCCCCAAACCAGCCCCAAAATCCCCCGTAGGGACCCCGGGTCTGTCACAGGAGGAGCCACTGCAGTTGTCACCACTGGGGATGTCCCCAAAGCCACCCCAAAATCCCCCCAAGATCCCCCAAAATCCACCCAGGATCCCCCAAAATCCACCCAGGATCCCCAAAATCCACCCAGGACCCCCCAAAATCCCCCCAAGATCCCCCAAAATCC